AGAAAAATATGGCAATAAAAAAAGCAAAAAAAATATTATTTTTTCGAATAGAGTGAATCTAAAATTCGTAAACATATTCTTCGACTGTTTTAGAGTCCAAATCTTCATTACGGAAATGAGAATCATGAATACTTTCTGAATTGCAGAAGTGGTTTGAAATGAAAGGCTTTCGACGATAAATTAAGTTTCGCATTACGCAAATATGCATTGCGACAGTGGTTTTCGGCGGCACACACTTTATCTTGTATCCATAATAACCGCTTTCTTCATATATATAATTCTTGTTTATTTTCATATATCAGTAGAGGTAATAAAATTTATATTTTATTTTAAATATTTAAAAAAAAAATTTAAATAACAAAAAATCCCTCCCCTCCAGTTCCAATGAAAATAAAAACAAAATAATAGACAGGCTCGAGGAATAAATAGCAAATGTACTTGCAATATATTAAATCATAAATTAAACAATTCACGAGAATCTTAATGAATTAAAGTTCACAAAAATAATACTTATAAAAAAGGCGGTCGATTATTACGGATATGATGCATATGTATACCACCGAAAACGAGTCGTAATATTTGCGTAACGCGAAACGCAACGATTGGTTCCGGTGTTTGAAGTGAAAGTTTGAAATCTCCTAGATATACGTTAACTCGCTGCAGAGAGAAAGTATTGCCAATTTGAATCTTGGAGTAAATTGATGAAAAAAATTGTCAAAAGTGTTGTTGAAAGTGAAGAATACGGTCATTTATATTAGGAAATCAACAGTTTGTTTAGGAATATTCACATAATATATATATTTTTACAACTAACAAGACACTCGAGCGTGATAATGAAAGTGATAACTTGAGGAAGTAATTTTTAATTATGAATAGACGCAAAATACGTACAAATGAAATATTTGATCAACGATATAAATTTCATTTTTCAATGCGATTGAAGAGAGTAATGCCAGATTCAACCATAATTAATTTCGCTTCTCTTTTTAGATTAAATTTTATTATTAATTCTCCTGACACAAACAGCAAAGTGGAAATAAAATGTAATAGATTGATTAAATTAGATATTGCTTACGTGATAATTATTGATACAAAAATTAGTGACATGGAATATACAACAGGATGATGCAATTGCTACTATATCAATCACAAGCAAACGTGCTTTATTCCGGCAATGATAAATCACAATAAATCATCACAATAAGCTTTTCAAAAAACACAGCTCTAAAATATTACAAATAGATATATTTAACTGAGCACACATAGATACGTGATAAGAATAAGTGTTGATTCACATTATGTGACAATAATATGACATGATAAAATATTTTTCTATAAACATAAATGTGTATTTGTTCTTATGCATCTCTTTCAGGTTCCAAGTTTACTATATAAATGTATGAATACATTTATATATTACAAAAGGACATTTTGTCATATTATGTCATATATAATGTGAATCTGTATCTTCATACAACTTATGTTTGGCCACAGTATTACTGTCCAGAAGTACGGCGAAGTATATATAACCACATAAAAGTCAGTCAGTTCAAAAAAATCCGGCAATTCACAGATTTGCATATAAAAATCTCTCAATGAACAGAATATATCTTTGCGCACACAACTAAAAACTTATTATAATTATTGATTCAGTTTTATTCCTCATTAATATTACAACTGATTGTCAAGGATAGATATTCGAAAAGATGTCAATATAAATGCATGTCTAAAAAAATGTTTATGAAGTTTCAATGATTTTAATTGCATAAAAATAATAGCATTGTTAGCTTTCATAGATACGACAGGCACAATCATATGAAGACCCATCAATACTATACAGAATGAAAAAATTGTACATAGAATAACAATCCTAATAGAGTGACTATTTACAGGAAAAAATAAACATTCTTGATAATTGGGATATAGTGTTCCAGATGGAAACAGTTCCAACTGCTAATATTAAATCTGTACATATTTATTTAACAGCTAGATTCTGTAATCTTGAACTAACAGCATTGATAATCTGTTCTTTATTTACATCAGTGATCTTTCCGCTATTAGCCAAAGACGGGTCTAATCTAGCACATGCCTTTTTGTGCATGAACCAGTGTAATCTTTGACACTCCCTGTCGCAGTATTGCACTGCTTTGCATTTGCTACATTTTTTGGTAGCTTTATCTTCGCCACAAGTTACACAAGTTTGGGCATTATCGGAGAAGCCTCGTTGCCCATTAATCGCAGCGGAAACTACGGAAACGGCGGACGGTGGATCTGTACTAGCCAACGTGGCGACCATTTGACGAAAAATTGTACTTTCTCTAAATGGAAACTCTCTTACGGACTCTCTCAAAAAGGCCTCCTGGTATTCAGGTAGACCGTCGCTCTTACTGCACTTGAGGAATCTTCGTATTAAAACTTCTACAGTATCAGATTTCTTTTCTTCGCTCTCCTCGTTCCCGCTTTTCTCCGCCTTCATAGCTTCTTGTCGCTTTTGACATTTTAACACTTCAGCCACAACACAACTGAGATAATGATACTTGAAAGCCATCACTTCGTTTGTTTCAGCGCCTCGCGTCATTTCTCTGTAGCGCATAGATTCTAATACCTTTTGTATCTAAAAAGATGATAAATTAAACATTAATTTCTTCACAGAAAAAAAAGAGAAATATTTTAACATGTCAAATAAAATAAAGTACTGGTTGCATTTAATGTTTCATTATATATTTTTTTCTCTTTCCCATTGCATCTTACTTACTTTTGCCGCATTTTCCAGAAGAGCAGGAAATTTCTGTAAATTCATGCATACACGTACAGGATTTACATTGACTTGCATTATGAATTGATGGAAACAATCCGCTAAATGCGGCGGTAGCATAGGTTCAGTCTGCAAACCCTGCGGCTTAATAAAATAATCTATATCAGCTTTTGGAATAAAGTTATTGATAGTCGCTACACAATTGTGATTTCCCACAAACGCCGCCATTTGAGCTGCTGTTCTGCCCACACTGTTCGTCGCCGTCAAGCGTGCTCCGTATGACATTAAAAGTCCTAAAATTTTCTTAAAAAATAAATTGATTTGAATGTTTGTGGTTAAAAAGACATTTGGTGGTTCTGACAGTAGTAGCGGATCGTTGTGTGTACATATATATTCTATTAAAATTTGTAATCGCTTTCAATATTAGTGCCTCGTATATTATCGAAAAAATAATCTTCTTATTTCGATTGCTTTGCAATAAAACAAACAAAAATTTACGTTATCGTGTAATTTTATAAAAAGTGAAAGTTAACTTAACAAAAGTTAATTAAACTATCATCATAAATATAATTTTAATTGTTTTGCAAAAAACAATTTTTTATTATAAACTAAAA